CTTGCATGTTTGAGCAATTAATGTGTATTGATTCGAACGGTGGACACAAATTTCGTTTTGTCACCGAGTGAATCAAATAAGTTCACGCTTTACACTGAGCTTTTTCCTGGAAGACGCTTTTTGTTTCATATAAATATAACTCGTTTAAGGGGTTAAGTTAAGCGAAGGAAGTCAGCAAACTGCAGGGCGCGCATTTGATTTGTTTACGCCATGAAATTGTTTACCCTGTTTGAAGCATATACGTGGTATGATTTCATGAGGCGATAATAATTTAGGCTTCTTGGTCATGCTAAGAAAAGGGAAACCACCTTTTCTGACAATTATGTGTTTGTTGAGATTGTCACCTTGAGCCGTTTGCATAGGCCGAAGTTCTCTGTTTTATGATAGCTGCTGTATTCTCAGCTTTTCAACAGTTTCTCTTTAGTGAACTAGTTACGAATTGTAAAGGAAGCAGATCTGTTCGATTACGCCTTTTTGTTGACATTCAAGTGAGAAGCTTACGTCCTAGTATATAAATGATATTTGCCCAACTAGTTTGTCTGACAAGCGTTTTTCTCCGTCATTATCTGAATTATTTTTTTCTCCTTTTCTTGCTTTCCACACATACTGAGCTCCTGCCATTTATTTATCATTATGCGTTGAAGTCAACTCTGCTGTAGGTCAGCAATCGTTTATGATTCTTAGTATAACTGAGTTACAGCCTTACTGACAGAGGCAATTTGACGCGGAGTTTTACCTAATCGGATATCCTATTTTCGGTCCAAATATATACAGATTACCAAAAATCTGCAAGATTGACTGTGATAGAAGGCTAAGATTGCAGTTGAAAATTTTTAGAGCAGACAGATTGCCTGGAACATGTCGCCAGTTATTTGTGTAATATCGCTAATTGTAGTGGCATTTTTAAAAGTTAAGCGACAGTCGAAACAGTTCTGCTGAAAAACTTCAGAGAGCTTTCATCTACTTATTCAATGCTGCTAACACGTATTGGATTTTGATCCTTTGTTGAACGTGATGGCAACTTGATGCAGTGA